ACGGCGCGCGGGCGCCTCTGATACAGCCTGACCATTTTCGTTTTTTTCTCACTCTTTACCGGTCTTTGAGCAGCTCCCGCTACGCATATCCGCAATCCTCGTCTTGTGGAGTACGAGAGGCGGGGAGAGAAAAAAGTCTCTGTGTGCGAGCCCCACCCCCACGGCTAGTTTGTGGGCTTCACTTGGTACGCCTGTACAGGCTCGACTCGAATTTCTTTGGCTATGCGGGCTCGGGCACATTACAGCACGACACCATCACCAAGACAGCGGGACATGAATACAAACAGCACCGGCCGGGGCCTACGCTACGGCCGCGCGCACGCACACACGCAACCCTCGCACGCGCGCACACTTCTACATGGCCACGCACACACACGCTACGCGATGCGAGCCTTCGAGCAGCTGAAGGGTATTCAGTGATCAATCACATCCGATATACGTGCGTCGGTGTGCAAGCTCGTCCCTACCCTCCGAGGAGAAAAGTAAACCAGACCAGACATACGCAGACCACATGTGTGCAAAGTCAAAGCGCTCTCTCTCTCTCTCTCTCCCTCTCCCTCTCTCTCTGTCATAAAACCAAACCCCGCAACCAGGACACGAAAAGACGTATTTACAATTCTATTTCATTAAACACCGTATCGAAATCTTTAATTTTCCGACCCTCTCTTCACTAATTGTTATCACCGTGAAGCCGATCTACTGTGTTGTTACTTACGTTACTTCTCACTGAGGGAGATTCACGCACGAGCAAGAGCAGAAGAAATACAAAAATAAAATAAAAAGGTGGGGCGCGAGTTGGTTGGATGGATGGATGGGCCGGAGCGAGGATTTGCGAGGAGCCAAAGACTAAAGGCAAAAAAAAATGTGCGAAAACAATGGAGGCAACTGTCACTGTAGGAGAAACACCCCAATGGCGGGAGAGAAGGAAAACGGCAACAGAGTTTGGCGAAAATCAAGCGATGGGCGCGACAGTAACTGTTTTCTCGCATAATACGATACTTAACCGAGTGCGGCTCGGGGAGCTGTACGACACACAAGGGCAGGAGGTTATCCTCTGGGTCGACAAAACAACCCACAAAAAAACAATAGCAGCACAAGGGGAAAAGCTGAGAGGTGGCCGTTACTTCCCGAATACATTCCCGTGTGTAGACGACACTGTTGAGCCCCGCCCGAGGCCTATCCCGGGCCTAGCTAGCTTACGACTCGCACATATGCTACTGTCGCTGCATGTCTCCCGCACCATTAGGTTTGTCAGGGGGGAAAGGGAGGGGGGGGGGGAGGTTGTGTCGTCTGCCGTGCTAGGGTGTTTGTTTGCCTTGGGTTGGCCGCCCTGTCACACGCAGGTGGCTACGACTCATCTCTCTCTCTCTCTCTCTCTTACAGACACACACACACCACCACCCCTTTCCATCTCACCTCACCTCTCCGAGCCTCGGCTAAGAATTCCATTTTGCAGCCGTCTAAAAAAACAGAAACAAAATATGTGGCGCGGTGGCAAGCCTCTTTGTGTTGTCCGTGTGCCCCGTGTGTAATAGCCTCTCTGGACAGGCAGCTTCAATGTTCCTTTTTATTTGTTGTCCCCGCCGCCCTTGCCGTCCCTCTGCCACGGCAGCAGAGCGCCCGCCTGCGTCAGGTAGCCCTGCCCTGATTCCCAATGGCGCTGCGGCGGGTCGGTCAGCGGAAAGAATCGAGCCAACTACCTCAGCAACAACAGTAAGGCAGGTTGCTCGGCGCGAGTTTAACCGACGCGGTCGCACCGCGTGGCCCCGAACCAGGGACATGACTGCGACAGTCCCTGGGAGGAGGGGGTCACGCACGGTAAAAAGAACATCTTGGCATTCAAGTAGATTCCTTGAAAACTGACTTGAAATCCAAGTAAATCGCTTGAAATCCAAGATGTTATTTTACCGTTCGTGACGTATGCGACTGGAGTTAGGAGAAATAATTGAAAAGTGAGAGTTCACAGCGTACTGTTAAAAATTGTTGTCAATACAACGAAAGTGTGATTAATTTTGTTAGCAGCAAATGCTGTATTAAACAAACGATAAAAAACAACATTAATCAAAATGTCGGAAACGAAGCTTCCGACCAAAAGCAGTCCTTTTTGTTTTGCTCCTGTAAAAAAAAAGAGTTGTAATAATACGAGTGTCCGTGTCCTGTTCTGGAAGTAAATGTGTTGCTAACAGAACTAACTACTCTTTTCTTGTAAATGTACAGCAAAGTTATGCCAAGTAGTTTTTGTTGTGGGTCAATGTAGGCCGAATATCACAAGTTTCGAGAGGGTTCAAATGAAAACAACGTTCTGTTATAATACAGTATCATTTATAATACAGTATCATCCCACAGTCTGTCGTCAGGTGCACTTATTTTCAACAGTGCTCAGTGGACTTAACGATTTTCAACAGTGCTCAGTGGACTTAACGCACGACTCAAAAATAGAAAGAATGGATGTATTCCCGGGATGTGGTGCGCTGGGCGTTTGAACGAAAGCACGTTACGCTAGTCCGAATCCACCCGGCCGCGTGCCTCGCTGTCCCCGAAGCCAATCGGGCTGGGCCGGGGTTGTTTTTCACTTCAGCTTCACGCTAACGTTCCCAGAGGGCCGCGCTCAGGCACGCACGCACGCACACACACACTCATACACATACATGGACATACGGCGCGCTGGCGCCTCTGATACAGCCTGACCAGACATAACGGAAAAAAAATTGTATCTATTTCAGCAGCACAACGTTTGCTAGGACAACAACGTGTTTTGCTGTCAGCGTGACAAGCGAGGTGTTCGACTAGTACAGTCATTGTTCCTAAATTCGGACTTGCGCCCTAAATTCGGACATTGTGCCGTAATT